GGTGGCCGGCGGGCGCGACGCCTTCCGCGCCTTCCTGCGGCGGGAGCGGGTGGCCGAGTTCCTGTCGGAGCCCGAGCTGCAGGCGGTGCTGGCGGCCGCCGTGCCGCCCCGCGAGGAGGCGGAGGAGCCGGGCGAGCGCTCGCCGGACTGCTCCTCGCTCACCTACTTCCCCGAGCGGTCGGACGCGGAGCCGCCGGTGCTGGAGCTGGGCTGGTCGGGCTTCGCCAGCGGCGCCTTCCGCGGGCTCCCGCGCGTCGAGGCGCACTTCCAGCCCGGCTTCGGCGCCGCGCTGTACGGCTGCAAGGAGGCGGTGCGCAGGGAGATCCGCTCCGCCAGGGAGGTGAGCCCCGGCCCCGCCCACGTGGTCCCGCAGCGCTGTGTACCCCCGCTGCCGGCGGCCTTGGATCCCTTGCGTCGTCTTCAACTCGCGCGTCCGTCCCTGCTCTTTATACACCCCGAGCTGCACGTTTGTGGGCCAGGCCGCAGGAGCGGGGCTGCACGTGAAGCTCCTGGAAGCAGGGCTCCTGCTTTGCTTTTGTGGCTGGTCAGCACCCACCACAGGTGCCCCTAAATATAGGGGTTGTAAATGTTTTCCTTTGGCCATTTTCTCTCAAATCTGCTAGGACTGGTTCAGATGAGCTAGCTGGGACCTTGCTGCTGTTGGGAATTCACTCCCATAAGAAAGGGAATCTGCAGAGCTCTTGACCAGATGTTTTCAGTAAGGGCCCTGTGCCAGGTCCTGAGTGAACTGGAAGCGATTCTTCACAGCTGTGTTTGTGCCTCTCCTCCCCCCCCATTAAGACCTGGTAAATTAGTTTTCATCTCTCCTACTGGAGAGAATGGGGCTTTTTAGTAATGTTTTGTATATGAAGAAGAAATGTTGATCACAGGTTTGTGGATATTCATCAGGATCAGTCAGCTCACTTGCAGCTTCTGCCATATGAGTTAGTCACTGGCTCAAAATGTCAATAGTTCTGTACTGGTAATATGATGAAAGCCTTCAGCTTTACATCTCATCCACTGAAATGCAAGGCAAAATAAAACAGATCCTCATTGGATTAAGATATTCCTGGGTATATTAACATCCTTTGTTCACTGAATATGTAAAATGGTCATGGATCATTGGTGATGCCACTGATCTCTTCTTTTCAGGCAGGATTTTTGAGGGAAGAACTTCTGATCCCAGCAAGGTCTCTCTTGGGACACATCAGTGCGTGACACTTGAAGTTAATAACCACCTGGCCAAAGTATTTACGCTCCACTCCAATATCCAGTGTATTGGATTGAATTTTTAGGGGCCACCAGTTCAGTTAGGGAAGCCTGATGCCCAAACAACTGCCACTCTTATCTCCACAGTAACTTCTTACTAATTGATTTGCCTGTCTTTTTGAAGCAGCAGTTGGTCCTTCTTTGTCCTGGTTGGATCACCCTGTGGGTTGTCGACATTAAAAGACTTTAAAAATCTGTGAGACCCAGCCTTGAGGGTGAAATCATTCATGAGGAAAAAATGGGAAGTCTGCACACCTGAATTAAGACCATGAGTCATGTCATTTGCTACTAATGATAAATGATAAGTTGTTGCTTAATAAATGATGATTAAGTATGCAGTGGTAGAAAAGCCTGAACAGCTAACAGTTGCTTTCCCAGTGCATTTCAGCTCTTCAGAGTAGGTCTTGCACTCTATGAACTGGGAAGCTGTACTTCTTTTTCACAATTCTGTATGACCTGTTTTTTGTTACAAGAGCAAACCAGGCTAGCAGGAATCTTAGATATATTTTCTTTGTAAATTCAATAGATAAATGTCAACACAGGCTCCCACTGTGGGAACCACAGGTCAATATATTTCTTTTTCCATTTTATTATGGGTGGTCTGTGCAGCGATATCATGCAAATATAATTAATTAAAGTAACTTCTGTGTTATAAAATGGTGTGACTGACTGCCTAATATGCAGGTGCAATGCATCTACAATGGTCCTTCATGTGAGTTTGCTCTCCTAATCCTTCTGCACTTCAGTACCATGGTGCTGTCTCTGACCTGTGATGAAGAGCAGTAAAAACCCTTTCTCATTCTAAAGTTTACAAATGCTGCTTTGATTCAGCTACACCCGGAGGGTATTTTGCTTTTTGGTCTTTTAATTTCTTGTATGTTGATTTAAAGGAATAGACAGTTCTGATAGGTGTGTTACAAGAATCTCACAACAGATCATCTGTATCTGTCCAAAACAAACAAACAAAAAGTGTCTTTTTGGAACAAGGTATTGAGAAGAGGAAACAAACTAGGGAGATGTTTAATTTGCAACCTGACTTGCTTTTTTGATGTTCTTCCCTGTCACTTCCAAAGCCCACTCAAAAACCGCTTCCAAAGCTCACTCCAAAAACCACAAAATGGGTTCTTGACTTAATGTTGACTTAATGTTTTCTTCTGAACATTACTGCAGGTTATTGCCCTGGTGATGGATTCCTTCACAGACATGGATATCTTCAAAGACCTTCAAGAAGCTTGTAACAAGAGGCATGTTAAAGTGTACATACTTTTGGATCAGGCTTCATTTCCCCACTTTCTGAAAATGTGCAGCAATTTGGGAGTTAATATTGAGGAGCAAAAGGTAGGCACTGTGATTATCAAGAAAGCAGACAAATGGTTATTGGTCCTATTGCAACTACGGCATCTGAAAGTTTGAAAAAAGGAACCTTTTCAGCTACAGCCACAGCTACATATATGGCATTTGTGTAGCTCCTGATCCTGGAAAGCAAAGAATTTAATAGCACAGAAGCTGAACTCTCTATTCAGGTAGAAAATTGGTGTACAAACAATCAGCATTTTTAATTGTATGAAGATAAATGTTTTAGCTTAATGCTTATTATGGATTTGCTAAAAAAAAGTTCAGAGCACTCTTTCTCTGCTTGCAACTTGGCATACCAGCTATCCCATAAAGCAAACTAATTGTTGTTAGAATTGGGCACCTTAAGTTGCTGATAAAGGCCTTGAGGTTTTTAGCCCAGTTAACAGGATTTCTCTTCCTCCTCCTAGGAAGTCTGAAAGAGAATTTTATTTTTGCATGAATGCCAGCTACTTAAGATTCATAAGATTCTGTCAATGAATTATTCATTATGTCTCCATCACTCCACTATAAGTACACAAGGGAGGTTTGAGTTGTGTTTAGTACTTGGTCTTTTAAAGATGAAAGCACTGAGTGCGTCTGCTAACTTTTAATGTTAAGGTATTTACAGAGAGACTAAATCCTAGTGTAGATCAGGCCTGAATTTAAAAAGTGACTTAAGCACTGGCAACAAAACATTGCATCTAGTGTTGTAGTACCTAAATTTTAACAGCCAGGTATGTGTATTTCTAGGTGCCCTAGCTCCTTATACAACGCATTGGGGGTAATTAAACACCCCAGAATAGGATTGTTGTGTGGCTTCCTGCTTCTCAGGCTTAATATTAATTACCCCATTGGGCAGTGCTGAGGACATGGGTGTGTATTAGCTCTAGATGCATGCAATTAGTAACTTACTCAGCACTGCCAAGAGGTGCCTTGCTACACTTGGAAAACACAGACAGGAGTGCCAACCGTGAACTTGGGTACTTGCATGGTTGCACCTTTTCCTTTTCCTTTTCCTTTCAAAAGAAGAAAGTAGTAATAGAATGGCATTTCTTTTAAAACATTGTCAGAGGAGAAGGTGATACCCCACTTTATTCAATGTCAGTGTTTGGAGCACTTGCCCCTGTTTCCTCTGCCTGATGGGTTTAAATCCATATCTCTTGGGACAGTACTGTAGCCACCAGAACACTGGCTATTTTAATGTGAGTAAGCACTCTTTAGTCGTCCTGTTGATATTGCTTCATTTTACAAGAAATAAATTCAGATTTGTTGCGTCTGTAGGAGAGCGCATGATTGCCTAGGAAATTGGTTAAGACATGGGTAGTCCTAGATACTAGTCCCTACTCCAAATAAACATTAATGTAATTGATTTTAAGATGTATATACAGTCCTTAATGTAGACCTGGAACCAATGATCCTTCACTCGGTGAATCATGAATCCATTTGACTTTGGAAGAAAGAATTTGACAGGATGGGTGGAGAGTGTCCCAACCTAGAAGAGCCTGTAGACTAGTGGTTATGGCAGTCTTCTGGGAGATGTCAGTTTGAACCCCTCAGGCAGAGGAGGGTATAAAACTAAGCACTCCTGATGTCTGCGTGAGTGCTCTGAATAAAAGACCATCACCGTCACTTTTTTTTTCTTTCTCTCCCTTTCTAAAAGAATGTGGCAGCTGTCACTTCACTTCGTGTGTGTGTGTGTGTGTGTGTGTGTGTGTGTGTGTGTGTGTGTGTGTGTGTGTAAAAACAAAAAAAACCCCAAACAAACAAATAAACAAGAGTCGAATGCAATAGGCATTGATAAAGGCATGGTTACTTTATCAATGATACTGGTTACTGGATAGGATCCTTTGGGCCTGATGCTTGGGGCAAGATAGCAGCTAGGTACCAAAATTCTCAAGACTGAAGTATTCGAGAACAGGTAAAAGCAGAACTCTGGATCTAAGGAGTTTCATTATAGAGTATTGAGGCACCCATGGAGCTTAAGCAGTTAGGTAACAGCCAAGTGGAAATTTAGGATTACAAGTTTAGATGTAGATACCCAAATTCTTCCTGAGACTAGCTGTAGCTGTCTACATCCCTTCTAGGCTCTGAGCATTACTGTTAAATTCTTGCTGGATCAAGAAATTAGTAGAAGCAGTTGTTTGCCTCCCAAGAAGGGTGACCTTTATAGTCAGCAACAGCCCTTATTAGTTAAGTCTTGAGACCACTTTTGGTTGGCTTGGTACTCTTACAGTGCTCTTATCTTTTAGGTGGAAAAATGTAATTGCAACTTTTCAAACTAAACATAGATGTATTTGTGTTTTTGTTTTTGTTGTTTTTTTTTTTTTTTAAACCAGCTGATGAGGGTCCGAAACATAAATGGAAACACATATTATACGAGGTCAGGAGCTAAAATTGTTGGGAAAGTCCATGAAAAGTTCATGTTGGTTGATGGCATAAGGGTGACAACAGGTTCCTACAGGCAAGTACTTTACTTCATTTCGTGTCCTCTCTCCCCTTCCCCCAGAAGTAATAGGAAAAAGAATTTCCTTAAAAAAATACTGTTCTTGACCAGTCTATCACATGTGATATTTGTATTTAAAAAAAAAAAAAAAATGTTGCTAGCAATCTGTGGTATAGCAACAATCTTGTTTTATGTATTAAAAGAACACATTATTGATAAGCTGTTACTCTTTGTGTAGGTCCATTATTCAGTTTATCTTTATGCATTTTCTTTTTTAAAAAAATAGTTTCACATGGACTGATGGGAAACTAAACAGCAGCAACATCATAATTCTATCGGGCCAAGCAGTTGAACACTTTGACCTGGAATTCCAGATCCTTTATGCAGATTCAAAGCCCATCAACCCCCGGCTGTTGTCCTGCAGCCAAGAGCGTGAAATAGCTAATCAGCTGATCAAACCATGGATATCAAAGACTTGATGAGGAAAAGCTACTTGCAGATAGAATTTTTCAACTTCAAAGCATTGTCAGGAGACGCAAGGAAACAGTCAGCTGTATTCTTCTGGAGAGGCAAGGCATATGTCAAATTTTGACACACGAGCTTCTTCACCATTGACTTAGCTTCGTGACTGCAGGGTCATTCTACATTAGAGCAAAGGGAGATGAACTGTAGCTGTACTTGGACTGAAACCTGAGAACAACCTCTGGTGACCATGTCCAACTCCTACTTTGAAAAAACAATGTCACAATGGTAGTAGGTGGAAAACAAGCCTCAAAGTGAGGGAATGCAATAAACAGTGGTTCCACTGTATGGCTGCTGCAACATACTGCACAGTTGTATATTTTGTAGGCCTGCTTCCTCTGGTTCAGAAGTGATAATGAAAATGTCTTTAGCATATTGTTTTAAATAGTATATAATTATAGGTTATAATTCCTATTCCATGATATCTTTGAGGTTTAACGTATTTTAAATTAAAACTATCTTGGTATAGTTTTTTGGATGTTTTAAAGCATCTTGACCAAAAGTTAAAAAAATCTGATTTTTACTTCTTAATGGTTCATGTGACCAGACTCTGGAATAGACTCCCAGCAGGAGTGGTGCAGGCACCTACCCTAGGGATCTTCTAAAGGAGACTGGACGTACATCTTGATGGGGTTATTTGATCCCAGCACTCTTTTCTGCCCAGAGCAGGGGGGCTGGACCTGATGATTTCACAAGGTTCCTTTGAGCCCTAAAATTCTGTGAATCTGGAAAGGCCCTAATAACTTTTAATTTTCAGTCAGTATTTTTAAAAGAATTATTTTTTTCACATGTTCTCCTTGGGTCAGTATCTTAGCTCAGTGTCTACTTTTAAATAATGAGCTAGGGACACTCCTTGAGCTGTGATCATGTCTGAGTTCAGCTATCCATTTGGTGAATGCTTTAGAAAGGGACAATAAACTGTGAAATGACATTGCTAGCTAAACCACCACATAAAGGGTAACTAAATAAGATAAACCAATGCCAGTGTAGTAAGCTTCAAATATAACTTTTCTTTATGTGAATGGCTACAATTGGGCATAAGTTAATGTCTCAACCAGTTTTAAGCACTAGTATGATTCTTCCCATATAACTTGATCCACAGTTCACAGTGAAGCATGTAAAACGTAAGTGCCTATTAATAGTTACCAAGTGTAAGTTGTTTTAAATGTACAAATATTCTTCTTAATTAGCAACGTACTTAAGGTGGCAAAGTCTTTATTATAATTTGACTTTTTAAATATTCATTGCTTCAAATAATTTGAAAGGTTTCAGTACAGAATGTTTGTTTATTTTTGCTGTATAAGCATTGTAAACATGCTTTACCTCATGATTTTTTTGAGATTTGGGGATGAAATGTTTTTGGACAAGATTCAACACAAATGGCTGAAGTTTCAAATTGTGTCTTTGCCATAAGAGGAAGAAGAAATAAGAATTTTAAAATCGAATTTGGGAGTAGTCTCGGGAGTTGGATATCACACTCTGATACTAATGTCAGCAGATTTAATGGGAATTCGGGTTGTAGCAGAGCCAAATGAGTCCTGCTTCTTTTCATGTATGCTCCACAGTCCATACTAGGTGTCCGGACAGATCCAGGGCTCCTGCTGCTCTCAGCCTGTTCCTGGAACAAATTCAGAGGGGATTTGAAATACAGGAAGATTCCCTATTACCCTTCCCTACTTCCCCCAAAATGCATTCAACTTCAACAGGCAATCACATGGAGAAAGAAAAATCAATAACATGACATTTTGAGATCCTTCTTCAAATTGTTCTAATTTAAACTAAATCTGTCCTCTTGTACTGAAAAAAGAAACCACCACCAAAACAGCTGTTACATTAATGCACAAGTATCTTTATCAACCTAGCCTTGCAGGTCGCTCCCTCAAGGGAAGTACTGGGGAGCTGCAGCAGATGCAGGAACTTGCCTTGCCTTATTGAGGCTGTGGTTTAGCAAAAAATGTAGATGTATGGCTTAACAACTGCTTGATACCAAGCAGTGGTGATCCTTACTGTGTGGAGCAGACATGTGGACACTGTACAGGAGAAACCTCAAGTCAGTGGAGAACTACTATCGACACTGCCTTCAAATCCAGTGGGAAGACAGATGCACCAACACTAGCATCCTCTTGCAAGCTAATACCCTGAGCATCAAGGTGATGATCATCATACATCAACTCCATTGGGTTGGTCACATTTATTCAGATGTCTGACTCCAGGTTCCTGGAGCAAATTTTATTTTCCCAGCTCAGTCAAGGTGTTTGCTCAACAGGAGGGCAGACAAAGCGCTTCAAAGATGTCCTCAGGGTCAACTTGAAAAAATGCAACATCAGCTTCAGTTTGTGGGAGACCTATCACTCAAGACTGCCCTAAATGGAAGAAAAGTCTGATGCAAGAATCTCTGTGCTCTGAAACCTTATGACAAGGGGAGAGGGGAAAAGCAGGAGCAGCAGAAACAGTGTGGCTTTTAGACCAAATCAAAAATCCAGAATCATCCACCCTGCAGGGACATGTACTATAACAGAGGCTACTGATCCCAAATTGGCCTTGTCAGCCATCTTTGGACCCACAGATAAGGCAATCATGGAAGACAATCATCCTTGACCATGGGGGAATGCTGCTGATGGGCTTAAATGTTTTGCTGAATTTGGGCCTATAGCGTGACTGTTTAAACCTAATGTTTGATAGTAATTGCGGGCAACAAAGTGACCAGCATGTTAATAGAAATGCTGAGGCTGTCTTAACCTAAGAACTTAACTCAGATTTAACATTAACCTGGATGTGTTTGTATAGCCTGTATTTATTATAAAATACGCATTTTAATCAAATATGAACTTTCATTTCTACCCAGAACTTATACAATCTTTTCTCCTATGCCTGAAGAAGGGTGTTTGTGCCTGAAAGCTTGCAATTAAAGTGGTTTGTTTGTGAAAATCCAGTTGGTCTAATAAAAGCTATCGTCTCTACCACAAGTCCTGATTCATTTTAACCAGGAATATATACTTGTATAGCATAATAATGATACACTACTAGATTAAAATGCAACAATGTGGCTGCATAACTTGGTTTGTCTTCTGTACCTAATGTAACTAAAACTGATTCATTCTAATTTGCCTGAGCTATTAATATTTGACGACTTTGTGTTATGTTACTTTTACCCTTGTGTGCATGAATACCTACCCTTTATCCATTGTTCTTTGTTGTGCAATCTCCTGCTCTTAGTGTCCATTTTGTAATCCATATAGAATGTTCTCTCTCAGGCAAACTTACTGTTACAGAATTAAATATGTTGTATAGTTCAGTATTAACATCTTGATGATTGTCTTCCCTTTATGTATGTGTAAAATTTACTCAAGAGGGTGCTGAACTTTTTATTATAAGCAGCCTTTTATGCAAATGAGCTGCTATTGCTTTTGCTGTGAAAGATGCATGAAGCCATTTTATGCATATTGTAATCTTCTCCTTTCTACAGTACTGTTGGATCTTTTTCACTGACACCCCCCCCCCCCCCCCCCACCAACCCCCCCTTTTTTCCCTCCCCCCCCCTGGGGACCCCCCGCGCGGAACAAATTGTTTCATTTTTTTT